GGGGGGGGGGGGGGGTGGGGGTCGTCAATGCTGTTGAACTGATTCCCACTATGAGGGACGGTGAGTTCCAGGAACGCTTAATGTGCATAAAACGGCGAGTGGCTATACCCTACTACTTGGGGACTTTCTTGCACCATCTTGCCATATTCGCCTAAACTTCTGACGATTCAATGGTGATGCGAGACTTGCCTGAAGGCACACTAGGATATATGATACTCATCAAGCCGAAATTCAGAAAGTTTACAAGTGATTTGGAACTGCATTTTTGCTGTTACATTTTTCTCTCTTAGGGGTTAACTGTAAGGGTTTGTTCTATAGGAAATGTTTACCATAAAATCATTAAACCTTTCAGTAGGGGGCCTAGATGCATCTTTAGGTCATTAGCATTTTGTTTAGTTTAGTTTTTCTTTCTTTTCTTTCTTTCTTTCTTTAGAAAAAAGACAATACTTGAGAATGCTTCTTTCCTCCGCGAAAAGCCCCCCATAGCCGTGTTCTGATTGCCTAACAATATGCGTCTGAAATTTGTTTACCAGGTTTGACATTCAATCATCCTCGCCAATTTTGGAAGACAAACCTCTAGGTTTCAGCAAGGAAGTCAAATTGAACGCTTCCAGAGTAACAAATATCTAAATATTTTCAGGCTTATATGGACCTTCAGCCATGGCAAATGATTAAGACCAATCTTCTGTTTAGAGTTTTGGTCAGTATTTAGAGTGTGTCGCTCTGCGAAGTGTTTGAGGAATTAATAAGAACATTTTAGCAATAAAACTTTGAAGTCTTTAATCTTGATTTTTTTCTTCTGTTACAGGCAGAAGGAAGAGGAGTTTCGCAGACAGTTATTGGGCTTGTGTTTAGCGCATTCTCCCTTTCAGCGGGTATTGGATCACCGATATGGGGCAAAACTGTAGGTTTTGTTTCACTATCAAATAGACCTACAACATTATGACGTAATACAGTGTTTACCGCGGTGCATTGTGGGTGAAAGGTGGGGACGTTGCAGGAACGCGTCGACGTGACACGTTATGTGTAACGTATACTATATGGCGTGTGTATCGATCATACACGAGAAAAAGAAAAAAATATAAAAAATTCTCGATTATCGTCCGAAATGGTCCATGTGGACTGCTGTGTTCCATCGTGTTTATCAAACACTCAACGAACGCCAGAGCTGCGCTTTTTAAATCTTCCACGGGACGCTAAAGGGGACAGATTTGGATACGTTCAGTGAGAAATAAGGCTATCAAAGTGAAATCCAAGTGGACCTCTGTATGCAGTCTACATTTTGTAGGCGGAGACAAAACTTACGATGTACCGGATCCAACGATTTTCCCGTGGACGAGTGAGAGGGAGGAGGTTGTTTCCCGGCAAAATGAACAAGAAGAAGCTGCCTTGCTCTTCAGAGAAAAATCGTTGGATCTGGTACATCGTAAGTTTTGTCTCCGCCCACAAAATGTAGACTGCATACAGAGTCCACTTGGACTTCACTTTGATGGCCTTATTTCAAAAGAACGTATGCAGATCTTTGTTAACCACAAGCCATATAGTATACGTTACACATAACGTGTCACGTCGACGCGTTCCTGCAACAACCCCACCTTTCACCCACAATGCACCGCGGTAAACACTGCATTACGTCGTAGGTCTATTCAGTGGCAAAGTGTCTGCCAGACATACCAGGAATTTTGTAAATTTTGTGGAGCGGTCCTTGTGTAGTGAAGTAAGTGACCCGGTAAAGTGGATAGCAGATGTCGTGTTATTTTTTGTTTTGGATCTTCAGTGAAATTCTCAAATAAAATTTACTATCTCTATCAGTGACGTAGCCACGGAGGGCTGGGGAGCACGTGCTCCACCCCCCCTCCTGGTGGCCCAAGGTGCCCCCCCCCCGAGAAAAATGGACGAATGGCTATTGAACTAGGCTAACAAAAACTTGCCCCCAAAAAACCACTTCACTGAAAGCTGGTCCCCCATAAGATGCTGGTGCCCCTCTGTGCCCCCCACCAGTAAAATCCTAGCTACGCCACTGATCTCTGTCCGAACCGATTTCACTTAAATTTGTCAGATATTCACACTTTACGTATTACCTTTCATATGCCTTTTATTTCTCAACATCATTTCAGAATTCCTTTGTGTTTTTGTGTATTTGTACTGTAACGCCTACATGTCCACGTTGTACTGCTGCATTTTAGATTCCTATCGTTGGCGCTCGGTTTGTCTTTTTGGCGGGAACATTCGTTACTGGCTGTTGCAGCATCTTGTTTGGGTAAGCAATTACACATCTGTTGATATTTTTACAGAACCTTTTATGCTTTTTTTAACCTTTAAAGTTTACAATGAGTATTTGATAGGAAATTTGTAGAGTAATTATGTGGAAGGAAATTAATCAGAGGCCACTCTTTGAACAGAGGTTTTCCTGTTTCTTCAAAAGCAAAGTATCCAATCGTAACGCAACTCCTTATATTGGAAAAGACGGGGGGAAAAGAGACAATTGTTTCTTTTTTGAATTTGATCTCAAGTAGAAACCATGTTACTTCATTGTTTCGTTTTCATTTAGGTCAATTGCTGCCATGCCAACGAAGGAAACATTTACTGGTTTTAGCTTAGCCATTAGACTTTTGGGAGGGCTAGGAAGTTCGGCTTGCCTGACGGCGTCAGCAGCATGCGTGGCTTACGCGTTCCCCGAGAATGTCGGCACAGCTGTGGTAGGGAAATGCTGCAAGTTTGTCATATCTGTAACAGATGTGTGTACGATTCGGGTCGAACAAGCGTAAAGTTCAGCGTCAAATTCGTGTACCGCATCAGTGTAAGATTGGTGTTGGATCGGTGTTAAATCTGTTTCAGCAGACAGATCATTGTGAGAAATCGCTTTCAAAGAGGTGCAAGATTTGTGACGTAGGCCTACTGTGAGATCCCTATAAGATTCGACTCGTGTAATATTGAATATACATACACGTACTTCGAATTTTCACAGAGCACGGTCGAGATGATGGGAGGTCTGTCGTGTGCAATTGGACCGGCTATTGGTGGCCTACTCTATGACGTAAGTTCACCATTGGAAAGGGGGAAAGGTCTTTATGAGTATCAAGGTATTTATAAAAACCCTAACTCAACGCTGCCGTCTCAGAGAGGAGTGTCGATCCATTTCACAAAAGAGCATGGTGTAAATTGAAGAGTGATTCCGCTCATTAACTTCATCAAAACACAAACTTGTTTTGTCAGATGTTCTCGACGTTTCTCCATATTTATCTGTGCTTGTTTTGACAGGCCGGTGGCTTTGAGCTCCCGTTCTTTGTTCTCGGAGCGGTTGTTCTTGTTGTCAATTTTATCAATTTCTTCTTGCTGCCAGAGCAGGGTAAGGCACGCTGATCAAGATAAAATCGATTTCTCTTCAAATTTGATAACAATGATCTTTAAGCTTTCTAACAGCGTGTTAGACCTGTTGGTATCGAAGGTAACGATATGGTTCTTATCGTACATCGGCTATGGGGTATCTGTAGCGTGTAGAGCGATAGGGCCAATGGTTGAACAGGGTTGAGAACAAATTCAGTCTTCACGTAATTTCATTTTGTTTTCTTCTTGTGACGTGGAGGAAAAATGGGTGCCGAAATGTGTAAGGACTGTTTAATGATCTTATAATACTGATGTTTTAATTTTAACCCACTGAACAGGAACGAAGAACGAAGAGTCTGGATCCTTGATCAGAGTTTTGAGGATACCAGCCATGTGGGTTGCTTTGGCAAGCACGGCTTTGGCTGCTGTTGCATTTTCAGTCTTAAACCCTACCCTGTCAATTCATCTGAAAAGGGTGCGTTCTTGGGGTATAAACACATAAAGTTGCAGCCATTTCAAGGAGAGTGAAATCTCGACTACTTCACTTCAAATGTAATCGGCAACGCATTTTAAACGTATGCGTTGTAGGTTTGTCTTTCTTAAATACATGATCACATAACATAACATTCTTAATTTCTTAGTTTACATATACTCATGAGGTGACACTAATTTCTAAATGAAACTTTCAGTATTTTTCTAAAGAAGAACCATACTTCCGGAGTCATCATCCTAACCATACGCCTTGTGACTTTTCTTTATCTTCCTTTTTATAGCTTGATTTCACGGTGATTCAAATCAGTTTGATCTTTTTTGGTTGGGGTCTTGCGTACGCGATGGCCACGGTAATTTGGGGAGCTGTTGCTGATGCTACGGTAAGTTATCGCTTCTGGGCGTAATCTGCCATTGGTGGCTCCTCCCTTGTGGGTGTGACGTCAGAAACAAAGGGTAGATAGGATTTTCCATTCGAAAAGGCAAATATGAGAAAAAGATCAAGAAATGAATTTTAATGGTGCATTAAGGGGTGTCTGGAAGACATATTAGTCTGGGCAAAGTTGTCTTTAAAATCTTGAAAATGGCAGATTAAAGAGCAAAAGCGAAATAACAATATGGATTACAGGTGCAAAGCCACTGTCGTGCAAATATGATCCAAATATACGTCTTACATACCATGGCCTACATTTTTAATCCGTACAAAGTTATTCCCAAAATGGCATTTAACCTAATTCTGTATTAGCCTAATTTTGTCACTTATTGCAACAAGTAAAGAAAGTCTTAACTATAACGCATCTTTAAACAAGAAGCTAAATAGAAACATTTAATTCTAATTGCTTTTTTATCCAACACTTCTCTGTTTGTTTGAATTTCGTAGAATTTGACAATTTCAATTCACACGAGCCAGTTTTGTAGCTGGTAGACACAAAAAAAGGATGTCTCGTTTGCTAATTCGGTAAGTTTATTCATTTGGTTACACAGAAAGCCACGAGGATTATGATGGTCATGGGGGCGTTTGGCACCGCAGTCTTCTATTTACTCTTGGGGCCGTCACCTCTGCTGAAAATACCTTCGTAAGTCGAACAGCAGTAGACCAGCACTTTTAGTCTGGTTCGCTGCCCAAAGATTCCCTGACGACTCTTTGATTAAAAATATTAGGTCAGGTATCACCCGCTGATATAAATAGATATGAACCAAGAGTCAGGGGTCGGAAGTTGAGAACCCGGATGTTTGAAATGCTTTCGATTCCATCGGGGCAACATCTCCAAAATGAAGCTTTTCCCATATCCATTTTGCAATGCTGCAAGTGTATCGTCACTGAGGGCATATTTCAAACACAAAGCTTTCATTGGTCGAAGAAACCTATACTGTGCATTTCGCTTGGCATTTCGGCCAAGGCGACCTTGGATTTCAGTGTATAAAGTCAAATAAAGTAGGATCAACAGCTGTCATTATACTGGCCTCAGAGTAGGCACTGACCGCGCTGGCTCCTGTCCAGTAGCTAACCCCAAAATTCAAGCAATAGTAGATCACAGAGTTTAGTTCGAAGAATTTCTTTATTCCATGAACTTCCATGAACTGGTACTATGTGCCTTGAAGTTTGTTTGTGGGTAAAACTGTTAAAACAAAAGATTACAAACATAAGGTCAGTCCTCCATATTTGTGAAAGAAATTGTGTAAGCCAATAAACGTACAAAACTTCTTTACTATGTCAACACACAATTAAACAACCCTAACTCAAA